ATTGGGAGGCTGAGGCAGGACGATCACTGAGAGTTTGAGGTCAGCCTGGGCTACATAGCAAGACTCTGTCTCAAAAAAAAAAAAAAAAAAAAAAAGAAGGAAAGGAAAGAGAGGGATGCCTAGAGACTCCACATTAGCCCCTCGGTGAGGACTTGCTGAAGCCGGCGGTGTGGCTCCCTCAGGGTCTGGGACGGGGTCTCTGGTGTCCCTGGGGCTGTGTGGGGAGTACCAGACAGAACCAGAGCCTGGGCTCCGCTCCTCCATCCTCCCAGCGCGCTGAGGACGGGCCTGGGCCCTGCCTCCTCCATCAGACCCGAGCTCACCCACATAGAGCTGGAACCAACCCTGGACAGGAGCGAGGCTTGTTTTGTGCTCAGTGTTAGGGTACAAATTACAAATTGTGAGTGTCCCGGGAGGGAGCTGCTGTGTGCTCCCATCCAATTAGTGCTTATGGGTGCTGGGGATTGAACTCAGGACCTCACACTGAGCTACATTCCCAGCCCATTATTATTATTTAAAATATTTTTCCATTATTATTTTGTATTTTGACCCAGGGTCTTGCCAAATTGTCCAGGCTGCCCTTGAACTTGCGATCCTCCTGCCTCAGCCTCCCAGATACCTGGATGGCAGGCATAACAGTGCCAGTGGTCGCTGCTGAGCCCTGAGGCACCTTTGCCCTGGAGTAGGCCAGGTCTAACCGGAAGCAGGAGCCCCTTTGGAAGCGCCACCCTGCAGGGAGGCTCCTCTTTCCCTGGAAGTCAGGGTGGTGCCTCCCCTGCCCCGGCTGCAGCCTCCCCCTGGGCCACCCTAAGAATACAAATGCAAAAGTCCCTGGGGAAGCGAGGGCACACCAAGTCCTTCCTCATTTGAGCCGGCGGAGTGGCTCACCGCCCTGTCCCTAACCACTGTCCCAGGTGGGGCTGTCCCAGGTGGGGCCACCCCTGGCCTGCACATGTTCCCACGACACTGGGCACCGGTCGGAGCGTCCCCACAGCCTGTCCCCTGGAGGCTGGGACAGGGTCATCTTGGCCTCTCACAGGGGGCCTGGCCTGGTGGGCAGTGGTGACAGTGGTGATGCCACACGCACCCTCCCGGGGAGCGGAAGCCGCCAGCTGCCTTGTCACGCTCTGCAGGAGGTCGGGGTGGTCGGCGGTGGCGCCCTCCGCTGTCACACAGCCACCCCTGAACTTGTCACTTCGGCCCCCTGTGGTCACACAGCCGCAGCGCTCTGCTCACTTCTGGGAAAATCAGGTCGGATTCTGGGTTTCAGATCCCGAATTCTCTTCCCGCGGGGCCCCCGCTGCCCCCAGCCTCCACCGGGAACACAGATGCTGGCTCCCCAGCAGAGCCCAGCCACCAGGGACAGAGAAACCAGAAATCGTGGGATTGAAAAAGAAATTTTTTCGGGTTGGGGACTGAGCTCAGTGGAAGCTCTGATTCTACCCCCAGCACCCCAAAAGAACAAAAAAAACCTTTTAAAATGATGAACTATAACTCGAGAATTGCTTCCAATTAAAATGTAATGTTCCACTTCACATTTTTTTTTTTTTTCCCTGACACTGGGAATTAAAATTAGGGCCTTTGCCCTGAGCTGCTACATTCTCAGCCCATTTAAAAAATTTTCTTTTCTTTTTTTTTGAGACAGGACCTCCCAGAATCGTCCAGGCTGGATTCAAACTTGTGATCTTCCTGCCTCAGCCTCCCAGGGGGCTGGGATAAAAGGTGGATGCCACCTCGCTAGACTCTATAACTACTGTAAGACAAGTTAGGTGAAGAAATAGTTTGGCGTATTCTTGAGAAGTTCCTTCATGCCTTTTCCAAAAATGATACCCTTCCTTTCCCTTGGGTGACCTATATTCTAAATTTATGGAATAATTTCCTTGGTTTTCTTTATACTTTTACTGTCGATGAATACATGCCAGACCATTACAGGTTTTTTTTTAACTTTTTTTTTTTGGTACCAGGAATCGAACTCAGGACTTGTGCTTGCCAGGCAGGTGCTTATGCCACCTGCTTATGCAGGTGCTTATATCCCCAGCCCTACAGGTTTTTTAAAAAGATTTATTTATTTATTTATTTTTTCAACAGGGTCTCACTGTGTAGTTCACAGTGGCCTTGAACTTACTGTGTAGCCCGCTCTGGCCTTGAACTCTCGGACATCTGCCTGTCCCAGTGTCCCAAGCGCTAGGATTACAGGCGTGGGCCACCACGTCTGGGCTATATTTTATCTTGAGACAAAGTCTTTCTAAATTGCCCACGCTGGCCTTGAATTTGCAGTGCTCCTGCCTCAGGTTCCTGAGTAGCTGGGATTACAGTTGTGTGCCAATGCACGTCACACAGTTTTAAATTTTTAATAAAGGGAATCTTAGAGTACCACCTCTCTGATGTAGCTCCTTGAGCTCAGTTTCATGTGTGTGGTGGTCAGATTTCCAGTGTCTACTGCAGCGTGTTTGTTGCTGCATAATATTCCCCTGTGTGGACATCCTGTAATGTAGTAGCCCTTTCTTTCTTGCAGGGCTTTTTTCTAGTTTCTGACTCTTTCGAGCAATGCTGTATTTGTCTCCTGGTGCTCATGAGCACACAGATTTTTGCCTTATCCAAGAAGGTGTCCAGCTGTGGATGTGACCCGTGGCTGTGACAACTGACACTCCCCAACGTTGGCTCTGACATGTGCATGCTCACCTCCTTGGGTACTCTGGGTCTTCCAGACTTCCGGATGCCAGTTGTGCTGGTGTCATGCATATGAACATGCGCGTGCGTATGTGTGTGCATTCATGTGTATGTGTGTGCGTGTATGCGTATGCATGTGCATGCGTGTAAACATGTTGGGCTCTCCTGATGGTGGAATTTGCATCCTCTGCAACAGTGTTGAGACAGAACATCTTTCCCACATCCACCATCTGCTTGGATCTAAGAGAATCTTTTCTTTTTTCCCAATTTTTTTCACTGCAGTAGTGAAGATTGAATCCAGAGCCTTCACACGGAGCTACAACCCCAGAACTTTTCTGTTTGTTTGTTTTTTGAGACAAGGTCTTGCGGTATAGTCCAGGGTGGCCTGGAATTCAGAGATCCTCCTGCCTCAGCTGCCTGAGTGCTGGGATTACAGGAGTGGGCTACCACACACCTTACCGGCCCTTTTTTATTTTTGACAGGGTCTTGTTAAATTGCCCAGGCTGTGCTCAAACTTGTGAGTCTCCTCTGCCTCAGGCTTCCCAGTAGCTGAGATCCCAGGCATCCACCACCACGCTGGGCTAAGATTGAAGACATTAAGAATGATCTGATCAAGCTCTTAGGAAGAAGGGCCGGCCTGTAGCAGGGGTAGAGCACTTGCCTAGCAACCCAGCCCCTTGCTTCTAATCCCAGCATGAAAATCAAAACCAAAACCCAGAAATTCAGGAAGCAGTGTGTGGCCCAAGGTTGCACACGCTGGGCAGCCTCAGATTCCCACCCTTGAACTGGAGAAACTCGGAAGCTGCAACCCAGGCCTCCCTGCGTGCCTGCGGCGTGGGAACCGGGAGGGGGAGACGGGCCTGCTCCTTGCCTAGCTGCTTCCCCTCCCAGCGGCTGGGCGCCTCGTCTTCCTGCGGCCTTCCTGTCGTCCTGCCTCTCTCCACAAACGGGCTTCTCCTCCTGACAGCCGACCCAAACGGGGTCCCCAGAAAGGGTTCACCAGACATCATAGGCCTCTCTCTCGCAGCCTTTCCTCCAGGAAGCCCTCCCAGATTTCTCTCCCCAGCTGGCCCTGGAGCCCTGGGAAGCTCCCAGTCCCAGTCCCAGCCGTTCTAGTTCTAGGATGTCCCTGTGTATGGAGGGCCAGTCTCCCACTGTGTGAGCCTGTACGTGTACCCGGCTGTATCCCAAACACCAGACACTCGGACACGGGCTTAGACCTCGTCGGGCACTGCATGAGCCCCCTTGTGAACCCTGAATCGCTGGCCTCCGTGCGGTGCCTTCATTACCCAGGGTGGCTCTCCTGGCTTTCCCGGGCCAGCAGAGGAGTGCCCGGTCTAAAAGGACGCAGTCTGGGACCTGCCTTCCTGGGACACCGGCCCTGTTGTCAGGCTCTGGTCTGTGGCCAGGTGCACCCTTCTGTTTTGCTTGTAAATCTTTCTTGCCTTTACCCACAGTGACACCTGAGACCTCAGCACCCCTGCCTCCCCAGGCACAGAGAGGTCAGGAGATTTATGTGAAGTCACACAGTCATCCAGGGGGAAGGAGGGCAGAGATTTAACATCAACTTTAAACTGGTGTTGGTAGTGTACACCCATAATCCCAGGTACTGGAGGCTGAGGCAGGAGGATCCCATGTTTGAAGCTAGAGCATGGAGATCTGGGGAAAGAGAATTCTAGGCAGAGGGAACGGCGAGTGCAAAGGCCCTGAGGTAGGTTGTGCTGGTCCTGAGCTGAATGAGCAAGTGGGAGAGTGAGAGGGAAGTGGGGAGATGGGGAGGGGAGCAGATCATTCAGGGCCTTGTGGTTCACTCTAGGGACTCTGGCCTTTCTAGTTGTCCCTTGAAGTCCTGGGGATCTGCTCCAGGAGGTGCCCACGGGTATGAGGATCCACGGATGCAGAGTCCCGTATACAAACAGTGTAGCCTTTGCATATGACCCTGCGTCTTCCCGCAGGTGCCAGGTGCCTTAGGTGCCTAATGCAGTGCAAACCTGTCAACACTTGGTGTTGTGTAGCAGCTGGGAACAGTGACGAGGGAAGGAAAGGTCTGTGTGTGCTCAGTAGGGGCAGCATCTTTTTCTTACGTATTTTCGGTTTGGGGTTGGTTGAAGCCTGGGAGGCAGAGCGGTGGATGGGGCCGGGTGACTGGGCTCGGCCGGGTGGGAGCCGGGAGAGTTCGGAGCTGCGATGGCCGCAGTGTGGCTTAGCTCACCAGGGCCCCGCTGGCTGCAGTGGGGAGGGAGTGGCTGCAGGGTGAGGGCCCAGTCAAGGCGAAGGTGGCTGAGCCTGGAGACCGGAGGGGCTGTGTTCCGAGGATAAGCCAGTCAGAGGACAGCAGGAAAATAAAAGCAAACGTTCACCTCGGGACAGAGTGCTGACCGTGTGGCCTGGTCCTGCCTTCTTCTGAAGCTCGAAGTCCAGCTACTGGTGACACTGGATGCAGAATGTATCAGGAATAGAACTCAGGGCCTTGCACTTGCCAGGCAGGTGCTGTGCTGCTGAGCTGTCTCCCTGACCCTGATTAAATATTTTTAATACTTATTTATTATTGTTATTTTTTTCAACCCAGGGCCTCTGCACTGAGCTACATGCCTCACCCTTTTTTCATTTTTAATTTTGAGACAGGGGCTCACTCAGTTACCAGGTAGACCAGGCCGGGATCAGACTTGCCATCCTCCTGCCTCAGCCTCCCAGAGTGCTGTGGTTATAGGCGTGCTCTACCATGCCCTGGGTTGAGTTCACACTTCTGAAGTCTAACTCCACAGCCTTTCAGGCTCCCACCCCTTACAGCTGGGGAGACTGAGGCTTGAGGAGGTAGCCATGGCAGTAACTGGAGGAAAGGACTAAGTCCCCAAGGGTCCTCCTCATGGAAGGACGGAGATGGCCGCCTTGAGGTCCGGGGAATCCCTAGTCTGGCCACGCCTGCTTTATCTGCCTGGAAGCCCGGGTCGGCTCCAAACTTTGACCCCGGCCGACACTGGCGCCGAGGAGGGCAGGCGGCGGGGCAGAGGCCGGCGGGGCAAAATTCCCCTGCTGTCTGTGCCAGGGGAGTTACCAGGGGCAGGGCAGGGTGGCTGCAGCCCTGCTGAGCAGCCGGACTTTGCTTTTCCGTGCCGCAGTTTACCTACCCAGAAACCTTGGCAAGGGAGGGGACCCCTCCCCGCCAGATCTGACGGGAAGACCGGGGCCCCAGCGCTGTGCCGAGGATAAAGAAGCCTCACCTGTCTGCCAATTTCCCAAATGAAGCAAAGCAGATCAGAAGACCCAGGATCTAATCAGGCGCAGCGGCCAGGCCTGTAATCCTGCACTCCGGGAGGCTGAGGCCAGAGGGCCGCAAGATCAAGCCCAGCCTGGGCAGTTCAGCAACTTAGACCCTGTCTCAAAAGTTAAAACATTAAAAAGGCTGGGGGCCGGGTGTGGTGGCAAAAGCCTGTAATCCCAGCACTCGGAAGGCTGAGGCAGGAGGATTGTTTGAGTTCAAGATCAGTCTGGGTTACAAAATGAACTCAAGGCCAGCCTGAGCTACATGTCCAGAACCTGTCTCAAAAAAGACAACAACAACAAAAAATAAATAAAAAAAATAAAAAAATAAAAGGGCTGGGGATGTAGCTCAGTGCAGAGGCGCAGGGTTCAATCCCCAGGATGCGGTGGGTTGGGGCAGCCCCAGCCTCTATGGAGCAAGCGCAAGCGCTGGGCTTAGGTCTCCAGTCTGTCGGGAGGCCAGGAGGCTTCCTAATCTGTAAGGCGAGGCCTTTCCAATCTGATGGAGACGCAGCTCGCCCCGCCTGTTGGGGACAGCGGGATCCAGCGCCCTTTGGGGGAGCCAACAGCTTCCAAATTCATAGTGGGGATGCAGATCCCTCACTCTGATGGGGAGACAGGACCTGCTAGTCTGAGGAGGGAGGCGAGAACGCCCCTGCCTGCACGAGGAGGCGAGGCGCTCGTGAGATGCCCCCTCTTTTCTGAGCGCGGTAGTTGGAGGGACCCCAGGACGCCTGAGCAGTCCAAGCAGGACTGAGAGGGTCGCTCTGTGCCCGGGTCTGATCTCCTCGGTGGACCCGGACGGGTGGGCGGAGCGCGGGCGCCACCTAGTGGCCAACGAGGGCCAGGTCCCCCCCCATCCAGATCTGTCCACAGTGACCTCTCTCACCCACCTGGGTCCAAACTCGAGCCACCCTGCAGTCCTGACTTCGTGGCATTGCTATGGTCATTCCCCATAAGCGGCGAGGTTGGGGGGGG